TCGATGCCCAATCAAGCTAGTAATAATTGTCGAAGTCAGGTTCATGTAGTTATAGCTTTTACGTTTCACTTTGATTGTTTGGAATCAGGTCTTTCTATCAACACCTAAAGATGAACTACCGGTGTTTCGCTGATCCGGTTATACCCTCAGACGTTGGCTTTTTGTCCTCTCATTTTGGTGGAAAAACATCAGTAGGGCTTCCTCTTTGGATACTGTTGGAGCTGCTTATTTTTCTATGAGCAGCTTTCGAATTGCAAGGGAAGGAGCGACCAGCTGCAACAGACCACGCTGAGACTTTCGATGCGATCTGAAATACTGTCTAGAACTGAGTAATCAGAGCCTGTTTGCAGACACAACAAAGAAACTTGGGTATCGTTGCTGGCGTTGAAATCGGGGCACACGGGTCGATCTGATGGTAACCATGGTAATCACCACCAAATGTGTGCTATCTAGGGCTCAGAACATGATATGTACACTTTACTGTTGAATCATGCCTCACGTTTAGCATTTACGTCATTTCTATTTATGTCTTTTTCGTTTCCTTTTAGATAACTCCCAGTCTGCCCTCTTTGTTATTTTTGGAGGCTAAGCGCAGGATATTTGGTTCTCGAGGGTAAATCCTGTTCACGTAACTTGCATATAATGTGTCTGTTTGCCCAATACACATCGGGCATAATCTCAACACCTTTTAGAGTATCTCTTCATTGTCGATTTCATGAACTAAATTCCAAGGCTCTAGTTGTTCTAGCCAGAACTCGTTGGTCCTTCTTATGCTAGTCAGGATACTTGAACAAGGTTGTTAAGACCAGTAAAACCGGAAAGCAATCAACAATAAACTAGTTTGTATTCCTTATCTGTCTTTTGTCATCACGCAAGCGTTACTTTTGATGACGAGAGCAGATAGTATTACTTGTTTATCCGCTTAAGCCCCGTTCTCTTTACGAATGGGAGGCATAGTGTAAGATCAAGGCTAGTAACGGGGAATGGGATGGCTTAGTTTTACAGAAATACTGTTCCGCATCTGTTTCCGATGTACAAAAGGTGTTCATATTAGATGTTTAGAAAATTCTAAATGGGTCAGTTTGTTTTCCGTGTGACCGAGGCTGATGAATTTAAAAGAGGTGAGCTAAATTCATTTTTCATTTTTTACAACCAGTAACCATGCGCTTTCGAGCGCCGGTTTTGTTTGCTGTTTTTTATCTGCCCATTGGGATAAAAGTACAGAATGAAGATTGGAATAGTGAAGACAGAGTCAAAGGGACGATAAAGAATTCATATAGACTGTGGTTGCAAGAATATTCAGTAAATGCATGAGTGCCACTGTTCGCGACATTCAGCCATATCACTCATCGCCTCTAACCACCACTTTGACCTCAAGCTGAATTGCTCATCCTGATGTGGCTATTCAGGTTGCTTTCTGTTTCTTGGTTAGACTGTACTAAAAACAACAATAATACCGATTATTATTGAATGGGACCACAGGATTCAAGTTGCACTGATAGGCGACATTTAGAGGTGTAAATGGAGCACCAGGGACTTTGAGATAGATGCTGACAGCCGCTTGATCATGGAGTGTCGGCTAATCAAATCTATCCTCGGATTAACACGTTTCTTTATTCGAAAAATAGCTTGTGTTTTCATCCTCGATCAGGAGGTGCTTCGTGGAACTGTAACATCATAAACACTCCTTGGATTCAATGTACAATTTTTTTGTAAAAGAGTTCTGTTTGAACATGTTCACTGTGATAGGAGTCAAGACGATACTAGAAAAGGAATCCTAATTCATACCAGAAAACAACTTGAATCATACTTAAGATTTGATTGATGAATGCTGATTGCTCGATTTACCCAACCAAAATCCGAGTTATACTCGACGGAAAAGTAATGACTCAGTTAATGGCAAACGAAGTAGTCGCAGTCTTTGTGTAGAGTCATTGTTTTGAGATTAACTGACCTTTCAGTCGCAGTAATGTCGTAAGTTATCTGTGTCTTTTACCCTCGTTCACTCTAGGGCTCAATCCACGAGACACATTCTGCGTATGCAACCGTCCTTGACTCCAGACCAGCAAAGCATTCCAGCGTTCTCTGTGCACGGCGCACCGATCACCAAGTTGAACTTTTCTCGAGCGTTGACCGATCAGCATCGTCAGACTTGTTCCAGGAATATGGTTATATCAGCGGACCGTCATTGGTTCGCGGTAACGGACAATCTTGGTCGTGTGCTTTTGGTGGATGTCCGACGAGAACGGGTTGTGCGTATTTGGAAAGGTTTGACAAATGTTTTCCCACCTCACTCTTTCGGGTGCTAACAGGCATTGCCTGTCGAATCGTTCGGTCTCATCTGGGTTATTCCATCACATCTTTTTGAATTTGAAGCTACTCCTAGAACGTTTTGAATTTAGAGTGCATTTTCGGCAACATTTTTCTTCTACTACTCACTGCAATAAGCTTTCTCTATCTGAGAAATAGTGACTGTCAGGTAACTGCATCACTTCATTTGTACGCATTTGTAATGTTTTGTAAAGCATATTGAGTTCATCATAGTCACCACTGTTTGCGATCGAAATTCTCTGTCACGAAAAGTGCTTAACAGCTGATTCTTCTTTGCTTGGGTTAGTGATCCGTATGTTTAGGCTGTAAGGACTTCACCTATCAATTCGAAAATTCACGGTTTGAGTCTTGACAGTGGAACAGAAAGCATGCATTACTGTTACAGACGAGTCTCATCATAAACAGAACAGCTGTCGGTCGGCACAATGAAAAATTTCAAGATCTCAAACAACATTTGAAGTGTGAAACTCAACAAGAACATGAAATCAATTCATGGTGCTTATTGCTTGTGAACAGTCGAATGGATGAAGTCAAATGTTGCTTTCTCATAGTAATGTTCTGCTGATGAGCATATTGGCGTTGATTGTGGGATGTTACCACTTCAATGGAAAAGGAAATCGTTGACGGTATTTAGTTGTAATTCCAAGGAGAGGCAAGGAGGGTAGATTTTTTATTTCAATGCCTCATTCTGTCACTCTATTTTTAAGTGTGACAGGCAACGTCCACATCGCTTGTTTTGACATCAACTTATGTTTGCCTCCATGTTCTCCGAAGAGAATGTTTTCGATGTCAAACGATGAACAACAGCTCATTTTTGAATCATGTTACTGTGATCAAATCGTACTCTTCCTCGACAGGCTACCGAGATGCGGAGTTGGCTTTTTTCGAACTGACAGACAAAACCTCCTCATCTGTTCGTGATACTCGGTGCTTGCTCATTCATGCTCCTCACCGACGCATGTTGGAATTGTTTCGTCTGGTTCATGGGCCGTGCTTGTCTACATGGGATGTGGATGAGCCTGTACGTCTGATTCCGGCCTATCACCAAGTGATCGGAGATTTCTACCCCGCTTACGGGTGAGCTCACAAAAAAGTTGATTCTTTAGCAGCGATCTCCACCTTCCCATTGTTTTCGGTTCGAAGTTATGGATAGTTGATGTGTTTTCATCCTCAGTGCAACTCACTAAACGTATCCCTCAACGTCCAAAGATCTCTCTCTTTTACAAAAGCATTATCCTTGATGTTTTTAAGACTCGAATTCGGTGCAAACTAGACCATACAACTTGAATGTCTGTGTGAGACTGGCTTCTAAACACATACTGATCTGTAAATTAGATAGGTTTCATGTTTGCTGCATAGAGGGGCTAACTGAATGTGCTGTCAAGGATTTGAACTGTGGAAACCCAAATTATATGAAATATTGAAGGCATCACCTCAGCCTGAACTTATCCCGCTCAACAGAAATAGTTCAGAGAAGCCAAGCAACGGAAAAGCGTCATATATCTATATTGTCCAACCATCTACATACTACTTATTATGAAATATGAAATTGTCGATTGTGAAAAGTTCAGTAGCCTCACTGGGATTCGAACTCACGCATGGACTCCGAGTAAGCTTTGTACGCGCACGCTCTACCAACTGAGCTACGAGGGCACACATGCCCCTGTAAGTTGGACGGGTAATTCGAATGTGAAAAGATCAATGCTATCGGCGTGCCCTCGTAGCTCAGCTGGTAGAGCGTGCGCGTACAAAGCTTAGTCGGCGTCCATGCGTGAGTTCGAATCGCACAGAGGCTACTGAACTTTTCACAATCGACATAACAACTTCAACTCTGCCAAAACAACCATTTGCAAAATATGTATATTGCAATAATTAGTATATGAATGACTGGACAAACTTTTCCGTCACTCATATACTACTCATTGTAAATCATTTCATAAAGACGCTCA